TCGGGAATCCATCTCTAGTGGACCCCTAATATAAAAATCCCAAACTGAATCAAAGTAAAACTGAAGATAAAATCCAAGTCGAACATCTGGAAAGAGATCCTACATCGTCGGAAGAATGAGAGACCGTCTCTGCTCCACACGAACAAGCTCAAGCCTGGAACTGACGTACACCTGTAAAATAGGAGTGGGTCAGGCCCACGAACAAGTTCTATCCTACCGCAATCCAAGCAGAGACCCGATACGCATGTACATACTAAATAGTTCAACAATAGCTAATAGTCCGTACATAAATATATATCCACACTACTGGACCCTCGCTAGACTATGAAGAGGGTCTCAACCTGAATAGAAGGCATCACACAAATCGCACCTGAGTGGGTATGAGTACCTAAGCCTAAACAGGGTATACCTCAATCCCCACAGTCAGCTACACATCCAACTGCATATACGCATCTTAACCGTTGACTCTGAGACTCAAGCTCATGTCACGGTACCATAAAAATATATTTAAACTCCAATTCCATCCATCCACAAGAAATCCATGAAGTCGTTCGGCGTAGTCAACCGCACCGACTTACATACATATAAGGAGGATTTATTTAATAACCCGTACCCTCATTCCAAATAGGTAGGACTTAGCAACTTGTGCTGTCCAAACCTAGTATGTCACCGTCCCATACCAGTACATACAATCCAATCCATCCAGCAGTTGATACCAAACATAAACAATGCACATAGCAACTGAGCCGTAATAAGCATAAATAGAGATATAGACTAACATGTTTACTCCAGTAATTGATAACCCAAAATCATAAGACATATCAATTAATACCATGATGAATATAAAAAAATATATAGGTTATCATATTCATCCCATATCTCCATTATAAATTATCATATTTCTGAGCATGCAGATAATTCATCATTCTCGTCCACGAATCCATGACAAGTACAATAAACTTAACTATATTAATTATCATGCTTGTCACTATTAATAGCATTATAATAATCCATTTTCCATCCACAGAGAATATAAATTAAGTTCAGTAAAATTATAATTTCTCTGCACTATAATGAACAACTTCCATCGATGCTTACTAATGTTTAAGCTATAAACACATATTGGTTTATTAAACTTTAATCCACTCTCACAGGTGTTGATTAGACTTAGAACATCTCAAAACACCCAAGTATAGCTTCCTACAGCTTCTAAAAAATCCAAAATCCGAGTTCCGTAGCCAAATTGGTCGCAGAATACGCAAAACTGGAAGCCCATGAAAGAGCCTGCTCTTTTAACCGAAAGAGCCTGCTCTTTCTTTGCTTAGAGCCTGCTCTTTGGTTGCAAAGAGCCTACTCTTTGCTTCTATGAGCCGTCTCTTTGCAAACTTAAAGCATTTCTTCTCTGTTCTTCATACTTAAAGTTCTTAAGTGTCTAAATTAGATTCCAATGTGCTTCAAGAAATATTTTAATTCCCTATTCAATCAACACTATCCCTTAAACAGGAAGTACACAGAGAATTCACCAAATTCATACATCTCTGTAAGACACACAGAAATACTTCCACAGACTTTTAACATTTAATGCTCTGAGTTCAATTCTGTATTATTCTGTTCTTGGAGACTTTAATCCTACTCTAAACCATTGCTAAACCATCCATTACAGTCATAATTCTACTTAGAAAAACTTAGAAAATCAACCCCCAAGAAGCCACTTCACTGAAAACTGAAGACACCACAAACAGAACGTAGTAAAAACTGGAAAATAAAAGTAGAGTCGGCTCCCCAAATATTGGAGCCGCCTCCAATAGCCTTGGAGCAGGCTCCAATTGCCTAGGAGCCGCCTCCACCTCAAGGAGAGCCGGCTCCAATCAAGGGAAAGCCGGCTCTCCCCCTCCTCTGCCTCGTGTTCTCTTTTCCGGCTATATTTAACCCTTCTACAGATCACCGTTTTGATTTCCAGAAATTTCTAAGTAATTCCCAGTAAATTCTAATGTTGGTTTAAGCCTTGATTATACTTACTAATATGGATTTAACCAAGCACAATGCAAGATCAGTTCCAAGCTTTAACAGTTTATCAAACCAAACCTAGGACTAACAGTTTGCGTCCTAGTAACAGATAGCCTATCTATTTTTGTTTTAAAATCATATAATAAACCTGGAACCAATTTAATATGCAAAGAACACGAGTATAAGGAAGAGAGTAAGGTTATAACTTGCCTTTGAGATCTTTGTTCAAAATCTATACGCCGTCTCTAAAGCTTTCCGACGATTCCCACTGCAAAACTACTATGTTGCTTCTCTATCTCTAGAGACGTGAATAGGGTTTTGTTTGTTTTTTAAAACCCTATACAGACATCTCACATATATTTATAGGGTTTTACTAAACCCTAGATTAATTCCAACCCTCCTAAAAATCCTCACCGACCCAAAGAAACCTAATAAAACTTCCGTCGGCAACAACTGACTTTTAAAACAAAACCCTATTTAAAAATACAATTAAATTAAAATAATTACCACTTAAATTAAATTAATCAAACCATTTTTTTAAATTAGATTAAATCAATTAAACAGTTAAATTAAATCAAGTAAAGCATTTAATCCTAATTAAAAAAATAACTAAATGCAATCAAAACACAACCATGAAAACAATTAAACTAAAACAAGGTATAAACATAAAACCCAATAAACTCATACTGAAATTTAAATAAATTTTCAATTAAAACAAACCAATTCATAATTAAATAAATAAAAATATAATTTAAACAATAAAATAAATTCCAAACCTATCCTTTTTAAATTAGGGGTATTACAATGGAGATGATTGGAAGATGCTTTAAAAGCAACAAGATGGGTAAAATGTGCTTGAGATAAAGGTAGGGTCAAACTTTTGAGAGTAGAGAAGAATATAATGAATTTGGGAAAAGATATATAGAATGAGTGAATGAGCCCCAAATTCTGGGCAAGTGCGTCTAGACACAAATTGGGGCGTCCGGATGCAGTGTGTCAAGGTGCGCGCCTTGACCTAGCCACGACACGTATGAGGGCAATGGGCATCCGGACGCAAGGGAGTGCGTCTGGATGCAAAATACGCTGGGGACTGATTTTTCATTCCGGCCTTTTGGAGACCGAAACGTGATCCATAATTCGCGGGACTTTTTGGACATGATGTATTAGCACTGGGACACCTTTCGGAACAATCGGAATTGAAAACGGAGATATTCCGAAAATCTCGAACTTTTTGGGTTTTTGAAAACATTTTACTCCCAAGTGGGCTTACGTCCAGACGCCCATTTTCCAATTTTCTGGAATTTAATTTTTGGAAAATGGAGCCCGAAACGATCCCGAATTTTTATTTTTATTTTTATTTTTTTAACAGAGCCTATTTGATGCTCGAGACACCTAGTATGACCAACAAAATTGAATTCGGAGCACTTTTGGAAAAGCCCTAAAATTGAGGTTCATACTTAGGCAATTTTCCGTATTTTTGAATTTTTTTTTATTATTATTATTTTGTTTTTTTAGAAGAAGAAAAGAGAGGTGAAGAAGTTAGAAAGCTCAATGGTCCCTAAAGATGGCTAAGTTTAACGTCGATAGCTTGACAGGATGGGAATCTCGTTGGTCCTCATAAATTGGATCCGTCAAGAGGACGGTCTCCACATTTCCATCTGAGACTAGTCCATCAATGTAAGATTTAAGCCTTTGTCCATTGACCTTGGAAAGATTCCCATTCTTCGGATCTTGCAGTTCAATTGCACCATGAGGAAACACCGAAATTCTTATCCACTTGACTCAACCCTTTGGGGTAAGAGGTGTTTATAATTGAAATGGCATTGGGTGGTATCAAGTTTGTGGTTAGCATTTAAAACTTCAAGAATATTTAAAGGGTCAAGTACAGAAAACACCCCTAAAGTATGTTTACAATGCATATCACACCCCTCACGTGCAAAAAACACCCTTAAAGTTTCAATTTGATGCAAATAAGTCCCTCTGACAAATTTAAGCCCTAAGTTGACTAAATTATATTACCAAACATTTTATAAAATATATAAAAATAAATAATTTTGTAAAATGACTGAAAATGACACTATTGAAGAACGTCCCTCAAGTGCAAAAAACACCCCTAAAGTTTCATTTTTGTGCAAATAGGTTCCTCTGACAAGTTTAACCCTAAGTTGACTAAATTACCCTTAATGAACCATTTTATAAAATATATAAAAATAAATAAAATGACCGAAAAGGACATTATTGGAGGACGCTGGCAATGGACAAGTAAAGATAAAAATAGAAAATTAAAATAAAAGTATAAAAGAAAAATAAAGATAAAAAACGAAAAAAAAAAAAAAAAAAGTGCAAACTAAAGAAAACAAATATACTCTAAACTCCGAAAACTAGTGCACATTGATATTGGGATTTTTTTTTTTTTTTGGTTTAACAGTGTTGGTACGAAAAAAAAAAATTAGTAGAAAACAGTAAACTAAAATCTCAAAAATTTCAAATCCTTGTTCTACAAATTTTAAAAGTTTCAAAAAACTAAATAAATAAATATTTAGAGATAATGTAAAAAGGAATAAGTTTTTTTTTAAAAAAAAAAAAGGTAATGTGCAAATCACACCCCTATACTATGAGATTAGTAACATATATACCCCCTTAGGCATTTTTAAAAGAGTAAAAAGAAAAAACAAGTATTACAATACTAATTTATGTCAGATTTCTTATTGAGTGATATTTTTACACAATTTTAAAAAATTATGAATATTTTTGCACTTTTTCAAATAAGGGATAAAAGTGCTATGCATTCTGCACTTCATGAGGCCGAACATGGCTTGCCTCGTGTCGGATAGAGAAGCCTACCTTTCCTGCACTACGGGCCGATGAATCACGCTCGTCCTACTGGCAAATCAAGTTCAAATATGTGTACTTTTTAAATCTTAAAGGGTATTTATGAAAACAATACATTTACTTTGATTTCACTTTTGAGGACGGACAAGCAGGAGGGAATATAATAGAATGGAACTTAATCATCCATAGACTTATAAGAACTGTTCACACTTCTTCGTATCAGTGGTTCATTGACGGCCTTACAAGATATAAAGGGTGAAGAATGCTGGCAAAAAAAAAAATAAATAAACGCTTTCACTGTTACAACAGTTTCGATGTTTATTTAAATAAACTCGCAAAACCTGAGATATTTTCCAAATGAACAGCTAAGACAGAAAACTCTACAGTTACAACAATAAACTGCAAGACCAGATTGGATGTTTATTAATGACCTTCTTTAAGACTTGGAAAATCTTCCCTAATCAACAGCAAGGATGTATTGATTTCTACCGTTTCGGATCGAGAATAATACCACAGAATCCTTTCTTTTCCTTGGACATGGACAGTAAAATTGAATTGGAACATCATAGCAGGACATGACAGTTTTACAACAATACACAGTTGAAGATGGCGTCGCATGTATTTCTGACTGAAAAAACGCAGTGATTCTTTCTCGCGTTCATAAAACTCCGACCTCAAAGCAACTAAGGGAATACCCTCCCGCTTTATCTGAACTTGCTTTAGAATTTTGCAGTCTCCATGAGTCCAAGAATGAGTTCACATCATGAAATCCAAGAATGAGTTCACATCATGAAATCCAAGATTGAGTTCACATCATGAAAACCAGACAGGACTAGCAAACCATTTAGACTATACTAGGTGGATCCCCAACCCAGTTGCAAGTGGCACGGGGCCAGCGAGTTCTAATGCAGTCCACCAAAGGTGCATGTTGCGAGGGCTCAGGTTTGGCAACTTCAACAGTGTCTTTCTCGCTCGAGTCATTCCTACTTGAACCAGAGGATACTGCTACATCTGCCATGAATTCCTCGGCAGTCCACCTTGGGGGGACTGAAACTCTCAATTTTGTGAGCCTAGGTCTTTGCACTGGAGTCTCACCTCCAGAGTTTGCTTGGCTGCCAATCAAAACCGACTTTGCAATCCCATTAAAATGGTAAAGATCAAAAACTTTCTTACCCATCAGTCCAGTTGAATCTTTTACGCCTCCCAAGCTCTTGTCTAGATCCAAAAGAACCTGCCAAAACTCACTCCACACAATAAAACCTGTGCTGCAAAGGTGATTCAGCTTCTCGGCTGGAAGATTAATACTTGCTTCCTTGAGGACTTGGTGGAAGCCCTCCACGCTAATGAAGCCACCACCTCCACTCTGATCTTGTGCATCAAAAGCTCTTCGGATCTGCGTCTCCCTCCCTTCAAGTTCATTCTCGTCTTGAACAGTGGTATCAAGCGCAAATAGGACTGTATAATGAGACTCACTTCCAACAACCCATATTGGCCATTTTGGGCATTTTAGATATTGGCCAACCTTACAGAAATTAAGGGACTCTAGCAGAGTGAGGAATCCAACCTCCACAGTTGTGGAAATACCATTAACGAACATGCCACCACCTAGGTCCATTCTCCCATCAAGCACGTTAGCAACAGCCTGGCCGCAAAGCAGTAGGTTTACAATTTCCTGTTCCATGGCTATCAATGTTTAGCATAATATTCTATAGTTACCCAGCAAATCATAATAAAGATTCAGATGGGAGTGAATCTAATGATACCAAATACTGAAACATAAAGTGAGAAGAATGAATGCTTAAATGGTCTGAAATTACCTGTGACGCATGCCCAAATGGAGTAGTGACTAAAGATTGAGAAGGATCGTCCCTGTCAGCTTGAACAGAATCCTAAGGAGGAAACAAATAAACAAACTTTTAATGCATCAAAACATGAATAGTCCATAGAAGAGGTTAATAGAGCAGCAGTTAGCACGTGAGATTTGCTTCTCAACTGGCATGAAAGTGAGAAGCACGTGACACATCATAAATGTCTTGTGTGAACTTTTAAAAAGGTTTTAAATGAGGAAAAATAATCCAATGATCAATTAACATTTCCTGGAACCACAATAAACTTTAAGCCTGACTTCACAAACTTGGACCAACAATGTACGGATAAAGAATGCTTTGAAAGTATCTTGTCCACCAAACTAAAGAAGGAATATTCCTACTCTTTTTGCAGAATTTGACAGAAAGGGATAATTCATGTGTCACACATATAAAGATAATAAGAAGATATTTGAATTCAGGAAAAAAAAAAGATATTTGCAAATTGAAGCTTGAACAAAATTGCTTTAAATGCCGTTGTTAGTTGTTACTATATGTTTCTCGTTTTCAGATAACAACGTTGTAGGTGCAGATAAGGGTAATGTAGTCCCGCTACAGCAGGGTCCTGGAGAGGGAGGAATAAGACAGACCTAACCTTTAATATTTCACAAAGTCACTATTCTGAGACTCGAACTTGCAGTAATCACACTGACGTTCAAGCATTAAACCAATGAACCAACAACGGCCCTGTTTGCAAGTGCATATGTAAACAAAAATTAGATGCTCATTTTAACTCCAAAAAGCCTTGCTTCAACTGTTTTTTCGTTTCTTTCTTTTTCTTTTTTTTGGATAAGCCAACTATTTTTTCGTTTCAAAGGAATTTTAACTATTTATTACTGGCTACTGAATCATGTCTCACTATTCCGCTGTGTCTAGAATCATAAATTCAGTTAACCCCCCATTGCCAAATAATTTCCTATCTAGCTCAAACTCAGATTAGTTTTCTTCCTCCTCTCTTAAATAGATGCTACTTTTAGCGTCTCACAAATGTTTTCATTGTCTGATTTCTATCATGATAATGTTATATGTTTCTTAGTTGCACAGCATTCTATTCCATAGAAGCAGGCCTAGTTTTATAGCCATTTTACAAAATTGTCTTTCAATTATTACCTTTTTCTCTCTGTCAGAAGCGATTTTATGCAATTAGGGTTCTCTGTGCATTGCCTCTACTAACATGGATTAGGGTCTATGGGAGGATCATTCCTTCAAGTTGAACTCCTCCACGTCTTCTTCTTAACGGCGAGGTTGAGTGCTTCTCAACTGGCGATGGTAGGACCTTCAGAGTCTATCATCGAAGTACGGCAGAAAGAGAATCAGTCCTCAAACCCTGCCATGTTGGACGCTTCGATAGAGATGTGGGAAGCATCGGGTCAATCAAGACGTGGGCGATGCAAAATTGGAAGATCGCGTGCAGGATTACGGTCTCAACCATGCCTGATCATCTCCTTCTGTTCAGATACCATTGGAGAAAGAGGCACAAAGAGTCCTTACCTCTAGTAAGACGACATGGGGTAACACTACTTTGGCAATTGATGTTTGGTACTTTGCCGTCGGCTGCTAGGCAGTGAGACCAAGGGGAAGGGAAAGACGAGTAGTGATGTACGGGTTACCTCTTCATCTTCGATGTCGGAGGTTGTTCGAAGCCGTAGGTAATTTGTGCGGTGGTTATCGAGGAGTGGAGTGGATAATATGGTGGTAGGAGAGAGAATCATTCTATTTGTATCTCATGAAGGATTGATCCCAGAGTTCATCTTTGTTGAAGATCAAAGGGTGACTTTCAAAGTTGCTTTGAAGGAGGAATCTTCACCATCCATCATGCCGAAAGTTTCTGTTGACAGATCCATACCACCACTTCGATTTTCTTCTCCTTCTCAAGGACAGGGACGCGTGAGGTAGCGCCAGCTGCCCTACCATGTGGCAAATCACGTGATCAATCAGAGGATCATTCGAGAGTTATGAATATTTCCAAGGGTGGGCCTGGGCTGAAGCATGGTGAGCATAGGCCTGTGGATAATCATTCTGGAGTTATGAATAATTTCAAAGTTGGGTCTGGGCTGAAACAGGGGGTGCATAGGCCTGTGCATAATGGGCCTGTGTCCTGGGTTGGGCATAGTGACCCTCACATTAAGAGGAAAGTTCAACGGGGCCTTAATAACCGATTGTCCATTTCCCTGTCATTTACTAAGCCCAGCCCAAATGTCCTGCTAAGGTCCAGTGGAGGAAGCTCAGTCCATGTTCAAGCATATTTCTTCTGCCCTTCAACCATCTGTACATCGGTACTGGTCGAAGGCGGAGAAGATGAGATGGAAACAGATCAGCGCAGGCAAGAGAGATTCAAGCACAACAAATACGAACTTTCGACAGGATTTGTGTTGCTGCAACACAAACACTATAAGACCAGTTATTTCTGCCCTTCATTCATCGGAGTATAGAAGTGCTCATCGGACAAAGCAAGGAAATCAGCACCGCCATGGCAATCGGCTGACCCGTTTTAAAAAACAGAAGTGGATTGCTCGGTCCACCACTCCTTTTGATCCAGGTATGCCCTCTATTACTCATCATCGGAGCCCTTCTTATGCTCCTAATTCTTCTTCTACTCCTTGTGGGGTGCCGAGGAGTAGTGTCGGGATGGTTAAGGGGTGTGAACAGTTGAAGCTGGCTACGATACCGGAAACTGAGTCGGGGATGTGCTCGAGTGTCCTTTCTGGGTGTGTTGAGCCAGTTAGCAAGACTGATTTTAATTCTGGTATGGAATCGGCTGATGGGGTAACAGTTTGTGGGGACGTGATATTCATCTTAGACTGACTGAGGAGTCAGCAACAGCTCTATTTAAAGAGCTTTGCCTTCGTACAGCTTTAATTGTTTGCCAGTCGAAGGGTTAGGGGAGATTGCTTCACACAGTTCGGTGACTCATGACATGGGTAATTCTGATATGGTTACAAGTTTGCAAACAGACTTGTACGTTGAAGGCAACGAATGCGCAGAGGAGGAGAGTGCGGTCTTGAATCCCATCCAACGGGCATGCTCTAAAGAGTTAGTCCCATGGTTGGGACCGGAGGAACCATTGGCTGTGATGCGACCTGATGGATTAGGGATGAATGCTGATATGGGCAAGGACTGGTTTGTTGCAAATATTGGTGTTACTAGTGAAGCGTTGGGTGTATCTTTAGAGGGCAATGATGATCAAGCCTTATCCATTCTTCATGCAATTGTGGAAGGGAGAGAAGTTGCAGAAAATATGCAGGGCACGAAAGAGGTCAAAAGTAGGAAACCTTTAACGTCTTGGAAAGGGGAGCAAGAGGTCAAGAACCTCATTTCTTATCTTAACTATAAGGGGAATGATGGGGTGGCGAGGGAAAGGTTAAGGACCAGAAGTGGGAAATGGGGAGGAGGGGAGATGATTGTTTATGGTTCTTAATGAAGCTACGAATTATTATGTGGAACGTTCGTGGTCTAGATGATCCGGACAAAAGGTGGGTGGTCAAGGTAGCTGTGAGGAAGTGGAGTGCCCATGTTGTTTGCACGAAACTAAGATGGCCACTATTTCTGACGAGGTGGTTAGGAGTCTTTGGGGAGGAAGGTTTGTGGAATGGGAAGCGTTAAACACCTCAGGCACCTCTAGTGGTATCCTAGTTATGTGGGATCGAAGGTGGGTGTCAAGAATGAATGTTTGGCAGGGAATTTACTCTTTGTCATGCGTGTTCAAGATGGAAGAGGACAATTTCAGATGGGTATTTTCTGGGGTTTACAGCCAGTTATTGACAGTGAAAGACCTGCCTTTTGGGAAGAGCTTTGCTACGTTAAGGGATTGTGGTCGTTGCCTTGGTGCTTGGGAGGGGATTTCAATTCTGTTAGGTATCCGTTTGAGAGGTCCACAAGGGGTAGGTGGTCCTCGGAAATGACCCAGTTTTCAGAGTTTATTGATAGTCATTTTCTTATTAATTTGTCAATGGAAGGGGCAGCCTTTACTTGGTCTAATGGCAGGGATCTGGTTACTTTTTCAAGACTGGATAGATTTATGATTTCTAGGGAGTGGGAAGAGAAATTCCCGGATGTTACTCAGGCAACTCTCGTAAGGGTGATATCTGATCATGTTCCCTTAGTTCTTGATTGCGGGGGTATGAGATCTCGGCACACCCATTCCGTTTTGATAACATGTAGTTGAGATCAGAGGATTTCCTAGGGAAAGTCCAGTCTTGGTGGGAGGAGCCGATAGTTATAGGTTCTTCTAGCGTTGTATTAGCTAGGAAGTTTCAGATTCTCAAAACTGAGCTTAAGAGGTGGAACAAGGAGGTGTTTGGGAACCTTGAATGGAAGAAGAATAGAGTTCTCGCTGATATCGCTGAGCTTGATCGTCTTAAAGAGTTGGGACAGGATGTGGAGTCTTTGCGCTCTAGGAGAGCCTCTTGTCAAGCGATTTTTGTTGAGATCGCTACTATAGAGGAGATTTCATGGCGTCAGAAATCTCGGGCTTTGTGGCTTAAAGAGGGGGATCGCAATATAAAATTCTTCCACAGGCTTGCTAATGCTCATAGAAGGTGTAATCATATTAGGCGTATTAGTGTGAAAGGGTCGGAGTTGTGGAGAGAGGATGAGGTGCACGGGGGGATTGCTTCTTTTCACCAGCAGCTTTACACTGAGACGTTAGGGTGAAGACCTAAGCTTGATTGTCTCCATTTTGATGCCATTTCTGAGCTGGATTGAGACAAGCTTGAGGTTCCATTTTCTGAAGAGGAAGTACTAAAGGCGTTATCGAGTTGCAATGGTGATAAAGCTACGGGCCAGATGGGTTTACTATGTGGTTTCTTTTTTTTGATTAGTCTATGCGGTTTCTTATGGAGAGTTGAAAGGTGGTGCCCAATGAGGTGATCGGCACCTTCCAGGAATTTCATTCTCATGGCATATTCGAGAAGTCATTAAATGCATCTTTTATTGCCCTCATTCCTAAAAAGGGTGGCGCCTCTGATATTAAGGACTTTCGGCCTATTAGCTTAGTGGGATGTATGTACAAGCTTATTGCCAAA